GCTTTTCCGAGTGGACGACCTTCCGGGGGGATGCCCCCAATGTTCGAGGTTGATTGCAAAAGAAGCCTTGAATACTTGTCGAGTCTTCCTTAGGTAGCATGTGGATGTTGCCTCATTAAAAACCTTACCGGTAAAACCCTTTTTGGGATAAAAACTCGGTCGAAGGAAAAGAGTGCAACAGATGCTTTAAAACCTTAAGGTCTCCAGGTTGGGTTAGCGCTTTGACTGCTTCGGTCGGGCGCCTGCATAAGGGTTAGTGTGAAATATAAAATGAAAAGGGAGATGGTTATACCTTTGTGTGGGATGTGCCGGCGATGTTTCGAGGTCCAATATGTCTAAGTCACTTGTGATGAGGACGCGGTACAGTCCTTTGTTTTGTTTAATTGGGCTTAACCGAAGATGTAATTTGATTACCCTTTGGCTCCTCTGCGGGTGGAGGTATTGGTGACGGCGCCACATCGTGCACCACGAACAATTCTCTCGTCGCATGCTGTTCCCCGTAGACGGTTTTAATCCTATCCTTTTTCGGGAATTTCATCATTTGGTGGAGGGTGGATGGTACTGCTCTCATGCAGTGTATCCACAACCGTCCGAACAAGGCATTGTACCTCATATCTCCTTCGATGACATGGAATTTGACGTTTTGGGTTGTGCCGACCACGTTGACTGGGAGGGTGATTTCTTCTTTCGTTGTTTCACTTGCCATGTTGAATCCGTTAAGGACTCGAGTGGCGGGCACGATTTGGTTAAGCAGTCTGAGCTGCTCTATTACCCTCGACCTGATAATGTTGGCCGAGCTACCTAGATCCACGAGTACACGTTTTATTTGAAATGTATTTACGAGGAAAGAGATTACCAATACGTCATTGTGAGGTTGAGACAAGGTCTCAGTGTCCTCTTCGCTGAATGTGAGGGAATCCTCGGGTATGTACCCACGGGTTCGCTTTTCTCTGGTGATGGATATTTTCGTCCTTCTCATCACGGGTTCCTGTGGGGCATCGATGCCTCCCAAGATCATGTGGATGACATGTTGCGGCTCATTCGTTTCGTTCTTCTTGTCCGCCTCTCTTTCCCGGAATTGATTTTTGGCTTGGTCGATGAGGAATTCCTGGAGATGACCTTTGTTAAGTAGCCGGGCTACCTCTTCTCGGAGCTGGTGGCAATCCTCGGTCCTGTGGCCGTGCGTGTTGTGGAATTCACACACAAAGTTATGATTCCTTTGTGAAGGATCTGATTGTACAGGCCTACGCCACCTGGCGTCTCTAATTTTACTGATGGAGAACACGATGTCCGATACATCAACATTGAAGTTGTATTCTGATAAGCGAGGTGCCTCCGTTGGCCCTGCGTTTCTATTGAATTCGGCTCTGTGGATGAGTCCCTGAGGATTCTGTCCTCGGTCTATCCTTCGATCGTTGCGAGGTGGGTTGCGCCTCGGGGCGTTCCTTCTATCTTTGATGTACGGCTGATATCTTTCTTTGTTTGGCTTTGGCTCCTTCGCCAGAAGCCTACTTGGCTATACTGAGCCCGAGGGGGCCCCTAGCTGGTCGTCTTCAACCCTGATCTTCGAATGGTATCGGTTATGGACATCCGACCAGGTCGCAGCGGGATACTCGACCAAATTCTATTTCAACTGCTTTGAAGTCACCGAGCTTCGTTCATTCAGACCTTGAGTGAAGGCCTGCACTGCCTAGTTGTCGGAGACTGGTGGTAGTTCAATTCGTTCCATTTGAAAGCGAGATACAAATTCTCGCAGCATCTCGTTCTCCCTTTGCTTAATTTTGAAGACGTCGGATTTCCTCGTGGCCACCTTGATGGCTCCAGCATGTGCCCTTATAAAGGAATCCGGCAACATGGCAAATGAGTCTACAGAATTTGGGGCCAGGTTGTGATACCACATCATTGCCCCTTTAGAAAGTGTTTCCCCGAATTTCTTCCGCAGTACGGACTCGATCTCGTTGTCCCTTAGGTCATTGCCCTTTACCGCACAAGTGTAGGCGGTGGCATACTCGTTGGGATATGAGGTTCCGTTGTATTTCGGAAGGTCTGGCATTCTGAACTTATTTGGGATGGGTTTTGGAGCTGCCTCCTCTGGAAATGGCCTTTGTATAAACTTCTTCGAATCTACCCCTTTTAGGATCGGGGGTGCGCCAGGAATTTGGTCGACCCTGGAGTTGTAGGTCTACCTTTTTGTCGTTGGTTTCTATCATTTTCTCGCTCGATTCGATCCTTCTGGTGAGGTCCTCGAGCATTTTTACGATGACGGGATCGGTCATCGACACGTTATTGCTCGATCTCTCCGGTACCTGTTCGGCTGAGGGAGCTGTCCCCGGTGCTACCGTACTAGGAGTTTTCTGGTGACTTTGCAGCTGAGCAATAACCAGCTGTTGTGCCTTCAACATTTCAAAAATAACATAAAGGCTAACCTCTCGTTCTTCCCTAATTGGGGTTTTTTGAGCTTCTTGTTGATCTCCTTGGTGCACACTCCTATTGGTGTGCGAGCTTATATCGACCTGTTGGGCGTCGCGCGAGACTGTGTCCGCCGGAATTGGTCCTGGTGCATTCTCAAGGTTTCGTGGTGGCTCACCAACACCTGGAGCAGCCACACCGTTTTCTTTGTTGTCCTCAAGATTGTTGTTTTCAACTCCATTCACTGAGTTAGACATTTCGACCTGAAATCGAAGATCTTGGACAAGAGAAAGCGTGAAAGATAACTTGCGTTATGTAGTAAAACCAGCAAGAAAATAATCACTATTATTTTTAGCCTTACGGTGGGCGCCAAACTATTTACCGTGAAAATGCTAATAACAATTAAATTTGATTATGGGACTCTAAAAATACGTGATCTATTTTTATACTAGTTGGTAAGTAGTTGATGCTATGTATGTGAGACTTAGAAACGAAATAGGAGTTAAGGATAAGGCGATAACCAAACCGATAGGTTAACAATCGGGGCCTCGAGCTTGTCGATTTGGGGGCCTCGAAGTCGATTCCGGAGCTCGGCTGTGAGCTATCGAAGGTGGTCGAGGTATGACTAACAGTTATAATAAAATCAACGAAGGCTCTTTACGGCCAATGATAAGCAATAAATGATGAACAATAATGAAGATAATAAATGGAAGCAATAATATAAAGAGAATATATTAGAGAGCAGAGCAACTCTTCTTGTATATTTCGTGTGGAGCAACTGAAGCAACATGGGTTTACAAAATGACAAGGATCTCCTTTATATAGGAGGGGAATCCCAACATAGTACAAAATACATTAATGACAAAGAAGCAGAGATGGGACAGCCAAATGACACCCTGATTCAAGGTTAGGGCAGTCTACTAGGCTCTGTCAGCCCTAGTCATGTGCTTTGGTAACTCCCCATTTCTATCACAGCCGTAGTCAACATTGTCCCTAGGTCGAGCGTCGACGAACCTCGAGAGAGGAAACTCGATCGTAGCCTTGTAGCCTCGAGCCTTTGAGATGATCATCTGAGGTTCCTCGATGACGAGGAATTGGACCCTCCGATTTCACCGTATACATAACTATTCATAAAGATCTCCATTAAAAGCTTAGGTATGAATAATCATTCACGTGCATGCATTTGTTTGGCAAAGAATGGATGTTAAATATGGAGGAAACAATCTCCTCCGACAGTTTTTTATTTGAATAGAAAAAAATGATCTTACAAAAATTTCTTGTTTTTTATTTTACCGATTTCTTGTGTTATATTTTATCGATCTCTTGTGAGTTGTTACTTACTATAAAAATAAGAGGATTGACCATGTCTCCTCTTAAGAAGTACCAAAAACCATCCAAACCCGAGTAGGCTAGTTGCTTGGTTTGACTGGAAGATATAACAACGTACCCAGTATAATTCCACAAGTTATCGGCAGCCTATTTGACCTCCGCCATTTAATCTATATTCTATTTTTCTAAAACTTTTAATCGGTACCCAATTTAAGACAGATTCGCCGATGCTGCTGCGCCTGCTGCTTCTTCTTCTGCTTTATCTCCTTGGTCATGTGTTTCTTCTTCTTATTTACACCAGCTTTTGATCCACTCTTTTTTCCCTGATTTATATAAATTATTATGCACTTAGTTTATTCATGTACATTATTAGAGAGCAAAAGATTAGACCCTGACTTGTTTTCGCTCGGAAATCAACCCTCTGTGCAACTCTACTAATGCCACGTTTCTTGATGTATCCACACTAATTCATTACATTGTCAACCAGATCTAATGATTCACAACATGACCATCCCACTTTCTTTACATAATTCAGTAACCCGAAGATTTCACATATTCAATACAACTTTGTTTACTCTACTATCCAACTGAGATGATTCTGCTTTGTTTTTCAACGAAGTACCGGAAGAAGAGTCTCAAGGTGAAGTTTGATGCCAGAGAATGGTTTACTAAGGCCCCAACTTCAGTTAAAAAATGTCTGAAGTTGGCTTTTGCAAGCTGAGCCAAACTTGAGACAAAAATATCCGAAGTTTGATCTAGATTTTTATTATTTTAGTCCCGTATATCTGAAGTATATTTCTAAAATTAATAAATTTATAATTTTTTTTATACAATACGAGTATAACTTCAATAGATATCCCAAAATAAGGTATATATGCACTTATCCCAAGATTTAAGACTGAATTAAGCCCATGCAAAGCGCGTAAGTTGAGCAGTCAACACGCACAAATGCAGCAACCATGAGACAAGCTAAACGAACAATGGATATGTATAATTCCGTTCTTTTTATTTATTTTGAAAAAAATATTCATTACTCATATTAACTTTGATATGGCCACGTCAAAACAAATAAAAGATCAATGTCACAAAAGTAACAGGTATTATTACTATCAATATTTCTAGAAAAGAAAAAAAATGCCAATGTGATTTATAATTCCCTTACAAGGAGTGCAAATACTACATATATAATCAGTAGAGTTGTATTAAGAGAAAACAACTATGAACTAAAAAAAAAAACACAAGAAAAGCCCAATTAGCAGAAAGGAAGCAACAAATTAAGTGAGAAAACTAATTAGCCAGCGTGGATGTGAACTCCAATAGCAATAAGCAAGACGGTAATGAGTCCAAAATAGAGGATTGTATGAACAAGAATGGAGAGGCCACTTGTGTGCATGTTCCCAAACTCCACAACTCTGTGCCTACCAGGTAACTGAAACAGTAGCCCTGGACTCAACAGCACAAACAGCACTACTGCTATCAACACTGGCCCCCAATCCGACATCTCTCTCTCTCTCTCTTAATATCCACGTGTAGGCGTGTTGGCCTATATTTTGTTGTATATATAGTTCGAATGCTGAGTAAGCTTTCTTTCAGTTTTAACACAATAAGTATTGGATTGAGAAAGGAATCAAAACACGTGATGGTGTTTAGATTTGTAGAAAGAGATCGAGTTTGATTCGCCAGTTCACACATGCCCCTTCTACTTTAATTCTTCCTTATAATAATTGGTTATGGTATTCATATACTGATCAAATGAAGCATAATCCATATACAATGCAAGATTCATATATAGTTGGTATAGGCAATTTTTTTCCTCCAAATAGCTGGCCCTAATTAATATATCTATGTGGATTCCATTCAATACTTTTGTATAATTATTATGGAATTGTTTACTCAAAGACACCTTATGATGAATGGATTTCCTATTTCTGATATATTTCATCAATTCCTTGTTCATATTTAATGTAGGACATTATTGACATCACTCTCAACTGAGACTTGTATGTTTATTTGCATTGAAACAAAGTTGTTATTGTTGTTGTTATAGTCATATGGTAATGACATTATTTTCGTTATTATCATTAGTATTATTGTTTCGTCTCATTTTATATGTTATAAATTGTCGTATTTCATTTATATGTGCTCTAACTTTTATTGATGTTTCTGTATGGTAAGAAATATGAATGTATTGACAAATTTGAAGGTTGGATGTGGTTCGTCTCGTTAATGCATGCCATCATGTGTTATTTTCAATGTAACACAACGCCTACTCCCACTTCTGTATGGTAAGATAAGAACTATTATAGAGGCTTTAATAATAGATATAGATACATTCGCACAACGGGAGATTAAGACTTATGATAATATAAAATGTTAATTGGAACAATAATTTAAAGAAGAAATTAAGCTAAAATTTTTTACATTATTATATCGCTCAAATTGATTCTACAGATATTGGAAGTTGATAGTTAATGGGGACGGACAGCCCAACAAGTACGTGGCAGCATCACGTGAAAGGAAATGTCGCTGTTGCCGTTGTTTTTGTGCTATCCCTTTTTGTACGTGCTATCTTGACAGTGACGCCATCAAAATTAAATTGCCTACATTTTACTTGTATTAATATCCTTTGCCTCTTCATCTTCAATAGTTTATGCGAAAGAATAAAAAGGAGGTTGGGCGGTTGCTGTCCGATTCGATTTGCTCGGAATACCAATGGCTTAAAGGAATAATTTTAGGGGCGGAAATGGTTGAAAGTGTTCGAAATGTGAGAAAAGAGAACAGTTGCACGTTTTGCTTAAATTTGAATTGAACGATTTCCTCCGATCCATAATAAGTGACCAATTTGCTTTTTTATTTTGGTCCAAAAATAAGTGTTCATTTGTATAATCAAGAAAAAATTCAATTTATTTTTTCAAAATTGCCCTTGTGTATGCTTGTTTGACCAAAAAGTATTGAGCTTTTTGTTAAACTAAATAAATAAGAAGACTTTAGGCAAATCTTAACCAACGATAATTTACTCTAGATCTAAGATAGAAGATGAGAGTAAGCAAGCATAGCACACATAAGATTTAACTATAACAGTGATTGAATCCCATCATATAAGAAGAGGATGGTAATTTTCATAATATCAAACAACAATTAAGAAGACGTAAATGAGAAGGGTCACCGATCTTTAGCAAAATAGAACCCCATACATTTGATACGATTAGACTAACAATATATATATTGATGATCTGAGCTTCCTTGATTCTTTCTTCTTCGTGGTGGAGAGAGAGATGAAGATTTCTCTTCTTTTCGGGGAACATGTCCGTGTCTTGATTTTCTCCGCCCCCTTTCTTCTTCTTCTCATTTAGTTTATATACTAGGTCTTCTCCCTTATCCAACCGTCATTAACCATAGTACTTAAGTCATTTGACTACATTATAGGCTGGCCCCTTGAAATGTCGTAATATCCACTTCGCCTCTCAGGCGTTCTAAATACATGACCTCGGCCGTGGCCGAGGTGCGTGTCGTTACAGCGTGGTGTGGATACGACACTCCCAAGTAAATTTTTGTCGTCTCTCCCCACGCCATTTTTTGTCTGGTCAGATTTTGACCCACACAATTAGTCCCTCCGCCCGTTGGGGTTGCCTCTTGGCGAGCTCGATGGGCGGACTCTGTTGATTCGAAAATTGGGAGAAATCTGAACGCTTTATGCGAGTGACGAGCACCTCATGGCGAGGTAGCGGCGTGGCATTTCGAGAGTTGCGTCAGACCATCACGTCAGTTCAGAATGTCATTAATACTTCTCATTATTATGGCGCGCGTTTTCTTTGCATTGCATCGTTTCCCATACCCTTTCCATTTTTTTAAATGGCGGCGTTTGATTTTTCCGCTCAGGGCATTTATATCCCTATAAATAAGGGAAAATCTCTCATTTGATTGTCTCGCTTCTTAATCGCTCAAGAGAGCTTTTTGCAACTCTTCTTCTTTTCATTCAGTTTTTCATATTTCTGCTTCTGTTAGGATTTGGCGACTACTACCTTTTTCCCTTATCATTCTCATTTCTTTTAATCAAAGAAAAGATGGCTAGTGCTTCTTCCAACTCCGATAGAGCTGTTGGTGCTCCGGTGCTGGAAAAGGATGTACCCCTAATCAAAGAGAGAGTGGAGATGGCAGAGGACGAGGGTTTTTCGACGGTACATGAGGTGGTTCCCCGCCCAAGGAAGGCAAGGACTGACTTCAATAGCCCTACTGGCGACGAGCCGGAACCTGTTTTTTCTATGATGGATGCTTCGGCGCTCACGACGTTCAAATCCAAATAGGGGATTCTTGATCACATTGAACTGGTTCCGATGGATCAAGACATAGTACGTATACACCGTCCGGGCTACTGCGCGTTTTATGCGTATCCCTTTGTTATCGGGTACATGCTTCCCCTTTCTTCCTTGGTGGTGAATTTTTGCCGCTTCTATAAGGTGTTTCCGACTCAATTCTCTCCGTACGCATACAAGCTTTTCCTTATGCTCATCAAGTATGCGGAGCTGGCCGACCGAGGGATTTCTCTACAACACATACTTCACCTCTTCGCCCCCCATTTTCTTAGGGGTACGATGATTCACATGTGTCACCTAGGAACCAAGAGTTTGGTGGTGAAGATGGATGACAAGGCAAATCACCGCTTTTGGGAGAGCTTCTTCTATGTCCGAACAAAGCACATCGTGTCGAACCCGGCGGGGTTTCCTGAGACGTGGAATTTCGCCGATAGGTCTTCCTTTCCTTTTACTTTACGCATTTTTTCTTAAGACGATCGTTGGTTTAATGACCTCGCTGAGGGTTTGTTTATGTTTTTGTAGTCGAGAGAGTACCTCCTCCGCTAGTTGCTGATATTTGCTAGTGGGTGAGCGCGATTCTCCCCCATACGATGGGGATTCGCGAAAAATGGGCACCTTTCCATGAGAAGTTTGGGCGTAAGCCTCTTGTTAGTGAGTCAGCTCGTTGTGGTCTGTTGCTTTATTCTTTGATCCGTAGTTCCTTTTACCTTATCTTTGTTTGATCGAATCTCCTCATTGGCAGGTCAGAGAGGAGTGAGAAGGGTGAGGGCTCCTGCGCTTGCTTTCCGCCAGCCGACTTCCTCTGCCTGGCCCGTTCCAAGGGCAACTGTAGGCGAGAGCACCCAAAGTTTGGTTGCTTGGTAGACCACGTCCGCGTATGGACCTGTTCGTCCGAAGATTGCTCCCCGGTCAGGCACTCCAGTTCTCACAGTCCGTTTAACATATGAACCTTCTCGCAATAGTGGTGAAGAGGCATCGTCAAAGAGGCGGAGGTTGTCAGAGGGGTGTCTTTGGTTGAGATTTCCTCGAGGGGCGACCCTACTTTGGCAGTATCTGAAGCTGGCGGTGACACCAACCTGGGTGCGGAGGCGACACCTATTTTGATCATTGAAGAGACCACCGTGGCAGGAGGAAAAGGTTCGGGGGCTGCCGCGATTGTTCCGAGTGGTCCATCATCTTCTCGGTAGGGCCGCGCCCCTCTTCAGCTAATAAGAGGTTGAAGGGCGTGGTGGTGGATGATTATGAATCGGATTCCGACATCAATCCTGAGGACATGAGGATGTTCGAGGAAGGCTTTACCAGTGTCAATGTGAGGGCGGAAGGTCCTTCTCGTGTGCTCGAGATTCCATCGGATTTTAACCTGTTGAAGGACACAATGGAATTGGTGCCTCAATTTGACCTTCTGTGTTCCGACGCCAAAAGTGAGTCTCTTCGGGAGATCAATGATTCCGCTTTGTCACGTGGTGTGGCCGGGATGGCCTTGAGGGTGAGTTTCCTTTCGCCATTTTCTTTGATTTGTGCTATTTTTCTTTTGCTGATTCCTCCCCTCTTTTTTTTAAGACTTATAGGCTGGAGATCGAGAGTGCTCGTAGGGCTGAGACTAGGGCCGAAGTATTTCTAAAAATGGCCGTGAAGTATCGCCAGTATCGTAACAAGTACCGTGAGATGCACGCGCAGCTTAAGGCGGGCGGTAACACTCAATCCGTTAGGGAGGAGTTGGAGAAAAGGGACCAGGAACTGATGCGGTCTATCCGCAGATGCAGCGAGCTCGAGGAGTTACTCAACGCCAAAGACGAGGAGCTCAAAGTGGGCAAAGGGGTTGCGGCGGAGTGTGAAGAACTTTAGGCAAAGGTGCTATCTTTGTGAGCCAAGCTTGAAAATATTGCCACCAGAGTCGCCGACCTAAGCGTAGAATGGACGGAGAAAGTAGCTGAGCTTGAAAAGAAGGTGGCCGAGTTGGAGAGAGCCGAGGGGGCTCGAGTGTCGGCTTAGGCAAGGGCGGCGCCACTGGAAGACACTATCTATATTCTTAGGTCTGAACGGGAAGCTGAGAGGGCGATTTCCACACTAAGGGAGGCACGACTCGAGAAGCGTATTGGTGAATTTGATCGGGATGCTTTGAGCCTGGGAGATCGAGTTACGACTCTCGAGGCTGAGAAGCTGCAACTGTTGGCTCAGGCCCGCCCTC